GCGGGCCCGCGCCGGGCCCACAGCGCCGCCACCCGGTTGGCGCCAAGACCTGCCGCGCCGGGCGCCTCCCGGAGGACCCCACCCAACAGGGCGAGCGGGGAGGAGCCCCGCGTGGCGGGAAGCGAACCTGGGTCCCCGGGGCCTGCGAGGGCAGGCGAGAGGACTAACGGACGGGGGGGGTGGTCCGAGCGAGCCGGGCGGGACACGGTTCGTCGCTCGATGGGGAAGGAACAGATTGCGCCCCGGGGACAGATCTGCACACCCAAGGGAAGTCTGGCCACAGGGCACAACGTGGGCAGCTCGTTCCTGTGTCTTCTGACAGCCACCGAGGTTGCCCCCAGCACCCGGATTTCTAAAATTAATATTTTGAAAACTGCAAATACGAAAAGAGCATTGCATTGAGTAGTTCTCCAGCTAAGGTCCGGGGGCCACCGGCCTCACGATCACTTTGTGTACTGGCTGAAAACTTAGGCTCCTACTCCCCGGTCCCTACAGAATCAGGATCTGGGAGAGTGAAACCTACAAATAAACATTTTTACAAATTAGTTAGGTAGTTCTGTAACCATGGAGGTACTCTTTTTTTTTTTTTTTAAGGTACTCATTTTTAAAAAGTTTTAAACCTATAAAGGAGTAACTTTTTTTCTGTTATACACAGAAAAACAACTGTCAAGGATAAAAATGTAGCAGTGTTTGAGTGATGTAGTGTAAATAACTGAAACAAATTAACCTCCAGGGCACTAACATAATTTCGGAAATTGAGTTTAAAAAAGATACAATGTGAAACAACATTCCACTGTTGAAACCGACCACTACTGTATACACTTGTGGATTTAAGTTACTCCTCGCGCTTCGCCCCCCACGCAGAGCTTGGGGTGGGAGCAGTGAGCATGCACTCCGACCAGATAGACCGGATAGTTTTACCGGAATCTCTTGTCCATTTCTCCTACCGGGATTTTGGGCACGCACTCACCTGCGCCCAGAGGAGAGTCAGTCTGGAAGCATGGGGGGGGCCCAGTGATGCCAGGTGCGGGCTGGGGAGAGGGAGGAAGGCGGAGGTGGAGACAAAGAGCTCCCCCAGGGGGCATGACCACACACCTTAATCCCTTCTCCATTCCCTTCTCTGGTCTTGGGGCCTATTTTTCAAGCATTAGGGTTCAGGAATCAAACCAAAGTCAGCCAGGTGGGACTAAGTGGTTAAAGCAGTCACCTTAACCACCTCGCCTCTTTGGCTGTCCTCCTGAAGAAGTCTCCATAGCTATGAGCTGGTCTGTTTTTTCTCCTATATCTTTTAACCTGATCTATAAAATAGCTAGTGGTCAAAGCACTATGGGGCCATCGCAGTTAGAGACCCAATGCAGCTTGAAACTCCAACTAGGTGCCTGTGCATGCATACCCAACATTCCAGGAGGAGGGTGCCTCAGAAGGGATTACAACGGTGGCTATCCCTCCTGGGGAGGTGATTTCTCTCTTCCTGTCTCTGTCTCTCCAGAGAAAGCACAGGCCCTACAGCAAAAATCCCTCAAAAAAATTTTTTTAAAATGCTAAGGTGGGTTTCGGTGTGACTATCCTCCCTGAGGGGTGATTTCTCTCTCTCTCCCTCCCCTCTTCTCCTGCCCCGCAGGTCCATGTCAAAAATGAAGATACTGCAACTTGCTAAACTGTTTTTCAGGTATTACACAGGGAGCTAATATCTTAGACTCTAAGGACACGCAGCAGGGCTCATTTGCCAGAAGTCTTGTCCATCTAAACTATTAAGAGGATCAAAAACTACTCTCTTCTCTTTAGATTTTTTTGCCGTAGAGCACATGAGCTCACCAGAGAGAGACAGAGAAGGAAATGGTAAGAAATCCCAACCCCCTGGGGACCAGTAGATGGCGTGGTAGTGAAGGCACTGGACACTTCCACATGGCTGACCACGGGTTCGAGTCCCAGACCTGGTGGCTTGCTTTCTCACTTCCTCTCACTCTGTATCTCTCTGTGTGTCTCTCTGGTCAAATGAAAAGAAATGAATGAATGAATAAAATAATTTTGAAAAGAAAAGAAAAGAAATCCCAACCCCCGAGGGCGATGTCCATGCCACAATCCCTCCTCTATTCTCCTATTGGGATTTTGGCCATGCACGCACAAGGACTGGTGTGTTTTTCAGGCTGCTGGGTCCAGGACTTGAACCACAGAGCCTGCCCCATGGGATCCAGTGCCTTCACCCCCATACCACTTGCTGGCCCCTTCTTCTGATATTGATATATCTGTATCTGTTAGGGGTTTTTTTTTTTTTTTTTTGGAGAGGTTTTTGCTATAGGGAGCATGCGCTCACCAGAAAGACAGAGATAGAAAGCGAGAAATCACCCCCCAGGAGGGATGGCCGCGCTGCAATCCCTTCTCCTCCATTCTCCTCTCAGGATCTTGGGCACACACGCCCGGCATGAGTTTTAAGCCACCGGGTCCGGGACACGAACCGCAGTTGACTACATGGGAGTCCAGCGACATAGCCATTACGCTAACTGCTGGTCCTTGTACCTGTTACATTTAAATAGCTAAAGAGTAATGTTTTTCTTTTTACTCTTATGCCCAGTAACTTATGCATAATTAAATGAAATTTTGTATATACTTATACATTTAATTAAATAATTAAAGTTTTTTAACTTTATTTTTTATTTTTAATTTGACCAGAGAAGGACAGAGAGCGAGAGAGAGACCAGGTGTGTGTGCGTGTGTGCCCAAGATCCCAAGAAGAGAATGGAGGAGAAGGGATTGCAGCGTGGCCATCTCCCCTGGGGGGGTGATTTCTCTCTTTCTGTCTCTCTGTCTTTCCGGCAAGTGCACGCGCCCTATAGCAAAAACCTTTCCAAAAAAAAAAAGAGAGAGAGAGAGAAAGTGAGAAAGCAAGCCACCAGGTCTGGGACTCAAACCACAATCGGCCATGTGGGAGTCCAGTGCCCTTAATCTCCATGCCACCTACTGGCCCCCAAATAATTAATTTTTAAAAGAATTATTTGTTTAATTTTATTTATTCATGTGCTTATTTTAATTTGACCAGAGTGACAGAGAGAGAGAGAGAAAGTGAGAAAGCAAGCCAACAGGTCCAAGACTTGAACCATGGTCGCAGGCGCTTAACCACTATGCCACCTACTGGGCCCCTAAATAATTAATTTTATTTATTACTATTATTATTATTATTTAACTTCCTATAGTTAAGAGAGAGAGACAGAGGAGTAGGGGAGTGAGAAAGCATGCTGCCAGGTCTGGGACTCAAACTGCAGTTAGCCATTGGGAGTCTAGCACCTAACTACCACATCAGCTGGCCCCCATAAATTTTTTTTTTTTTTTGAGAAGTTTTTGGGCGCATGTGCTCGCCAGACAGACAGAGACAGAGAGACAGAAAGCGAGAAATCACTCCCCATGGGGGATGGTCACGCCACAATCCCTTCTCCTACATTCTCCTCTCGGGATCTTGGACACACACGCACACGCTCCCAGTGTGAGTTTTAAGCCACCAGTCCGGGACACGAACTGTGGTTGACTACGTGGGAGTCCAGCGACATAGCCATTAAGCTAACTGCTGGTTCCCCTGGCCCCTATAAATTTTAACTTGACACAAATTATTACTTTGTGCACATGGTTCAACTTTGTAAACCCTCAAAAGATCGTAAGTCCCAAGGGTTACAACGTATGATCAATTGAAATTATACAATGTCCTTTTTTCAAATGTTTGTTGTTATTTTTAATTTTATTATAGGGTGTGTACACTCGCCAGAGAGAGAGAGAAAGAAAGATGAAGTGAGAAATCACCCCCGAGGGAAATGACCATTCTGCAGTCCCTTCTCCTCCAGTCTGCTCTTGGGATTTGGGGCTTACGTGCAAACGCACCCAGCATTTCTCAAGTTGCTGGGTCCAAGATTCACGCTATACAGTCAGCGATGTGGGATCCGGGGTGCCCTAGCCACCATGTCAAGGACTGTCCCGTTGTACTTCTTTTTTTTTTTTTTTTTTTTTTTTTTTTTTTTCTTT